TACAGACTACCTGGAAGGAAGGCCTGGCCACCTGTGTCAGAAAATCAGCCACAGGAAAAGCTATGGAGCGCCCCAGGGTCCCCTGAGTCAGACTCCCCTGGGTGAGGACTGGTTTGGTGGAGGTACTGGGCTCTCAGGCTACCTGTGAGGGGAAACTTCCTGGACCTAGAGGTGAAATGGAGGTTGGGGGGCCACCAGGGCCTTCTACAATCTCCCACCCCCAAGAATTCCAGGTGGCTGAGATTGTCGGTGAGGATTTGGTCAAGGTGCCCCCCTCCCGCCCCCCCACCTCCAAGGGATTCATTTGCAGAGACCGTCCCTCCACCCTTACCGACCCTGCAGAGCACAGGATGAGGCTGGGGTGGAGCTAGAGCTGGAAATTCAACCCCAGGAAGGGTGGCACCAGTTCCTAACTGCAGTGGGAAGAGCCATCACAGAGCCTGGCAGCCGGCAAACCCCCCATGTCCTCGCCTGGCTCTACCTGTATTACTTCAGGCTCCCACTTCTCCCCTCTGGGCCCCACTGTCGGGAATGCGGGTGATGTCACCCTCTCCTGGTCCTTCTGTCTTGAGGATTAGTGGTGTCACTTCCCGTGTGAAAATGCAAACAGGATGGCTGCCAAGACAAGTCCTTGCTCCAGGACCTGGGACTTCTATCCCTCCCCACACACTTCCCCCTGCCCCCAGCTTTCCTTGCCATAGAGAGCCCAAGGAGGTGCCTGCCCCTTCCTGGGTCCTTTCCAGCCTGCCTCCTGTGGTCACCTGGCTGGTGACAGCCTAGGGATTTTGTGACCACTTTCCATCTGTGTGAGCTGAGAGCCTCATCACTGCGTGGCTGGGTGGGCAGGAAGCTGCCACCTTCCTCCTCAGCTTCCTAAAAAGGAAGGCCAGGCTGCCCCGGAAGCACAGCCATGGTAGAGGGCAGGTGGGGAGGTGGGGGGAGAGAGGACAAGAGACCGGGTGGCAGGGGAGGCTCATGGGACAAAGCTTGGTCCATCAGTCCCATTTTGTTGGTCACTGTGGGCTCCTAGGTGGTCCCAGCTGTGTGGCCTGGGACAGGTGGTTTTACCTCTTTGAACTCTGAGGTCACATATTCAAAGTGCTCAGCACAAGTGCTGGAGTCCAGCACGTGCTCTGTAGATGAGCTCCGATGGCTATGCACCCCTAACACCCACCCACTACCAGCAACCCACCCTGACTCCCAGGGACCCTACGGAGGGGCTTCTGAGCCTGCAGACCTTATGCCAACAGACAGCCTCTTCTCTTGGCTGTTAGCAGCCAATGCTAATCCCACGGCACCAGGGCTCCTCCTGGCTAGAGACAGGTTAGCGAGCAGTGGGAGAACCAAACTGCCTAAAGGGGAGGTAGGTTCCCACTACCAGCTGAGCTGCTTTTCCAGGTGTGTAAACAGAGGGGAGTCACATGGCCCCTGGGCACCTCCTATCCTTATCTGTACAACGGGGGATGAGAAAGCTCCCTTCCATGAAGGGCTGTGGGGTGCAGGAGTTCAGTTAGGACGCACAGATGTGAAGCATTTGCATACAGCCAGCGCCCAATCATGCTAAAGACTGCTGGTCCGGTTCTCTAGCCTGCCTCTTCCCCGCCAGGATACCCAGTGCTCTGGTCTCAGGGATTCCTGGCAGAGGGGTCTTTGAAAGGATGGGGCCGGGGAAGAGGAGTCTGGGGGTGGTGGGGGAGGTTCTTCCAGACTCAACAACCCCTCCCCTGCCAGAGTGCACTCCCACAGGGAAACTGCTCATACAGAAACACAGCCCATCTGCCTGGAGACACCTACTCACTCCACCACCACGCCTACCCAGCCCCACCCACTCAGATGTCTGTCCCCCTCAAGGAAGGACGCCTCTGGAGGGGGAGTCTCAAGAGGCCAGCGGTGACATCATCCGGAAGCTGAGTCTCCTGACCCTGAGTGTGAGCTCAAGTGGAGGCCCGGTCCCGTGGACATGGGGGGGTCAGGGAGGGGTGCGGGGGAGAGGCTCCACGCCTCCACTCAGCCTCTCCCATCTCTGGATCCTGAACACTACAAACCTGGAATTCAGCACCGCCCAGCCTCCTCCTGTGCCCCCACATTTTCTGGGAAATGGGGCGGGTCAGTGCCTTCCTGACAGGCTGTGCGGAGGCTCTCAGGCAGCTTTGGTCCCTGGCCACGATGACAACCGAGATGGTTTGCCATGACCCTGAAGCCAGTCTCTGGGGGCGCACATGCTTGTTTGACCTCAAGGTGGAGTGAAGAGGCTCCCAGAAACAAACAAAACAATCCAACCCACTCCGGGCAGTTGCGCCCATCCCAGCTCAGAGCGACCCTACTGGACAGGGCAGGACTGCTCCCGTAGGGTGTCAGAAACACTCCATCTTTCCAGAACCAGCTGCCTCCTCTCTCCAGCACAGCTGGTGGGCTTGAGCCGCACTTTAATGACTGCGCCACCCGGACTCCTGAAGTCCACCCAGAGGCACCCGGGAAGGTGTGGAGAGCCCCGTGGGAAAGCCAGGAGAACCGTCCAGGGGAGACGGACTGCACCTCTCTCGGGGCAGACGGAGGAAGCGACAGACGCTGGCGGTCGTGGTTGTCCTCCGTCTTCTTATTTTTAACAGACTGCCTCATGTGGGCACCGCTGAACATCCAAAACGATTTCTCACCAATGACTCACTCCATTCTTCAGCAACCCGCCCCGGCACACACACAAGTTCTCCAAGAGGGACGCTGTGGCCTGCTTGTTGGGGACACATCAGACACGGGAACCAGAGCCCGAGGGGTCCTGAGGATCACTTATCAATTCTTGCTCCAGGATTCCTGGAAATAGGGGAGATGGCTAAAGACAGGGCTCTCTGGACTTGGGGTTCTGCCAGGGCCTTCTGCCTTCTTGGATGCCATCTGCATCATGCTCCTCAGGCAGCCCCGGTATCAGTCCAGCCCCTGGAGACCCTCCGTCCCCAGGCTTGGGGCAGGTCTCTCCTGGTAACACGTCCAAAGCGCAGAAGAAGTCTCACCCTCTCCCTCCCACGTTTGCTCATTCTCCCGACAGGCCACAGGATATTCCATATCCGTCCTCAACACACTATTCCCGGGCATCCATTCTTCAGTCTTCCTTACGCGCCATCCAGTCTTAGGATGGGTATGAGGTGTTTAAAAATGCCCTGGCTGGAATCAGGGACCCCTTGGTCTTTCGGGCGATGTCTGCTTTGTTAACGTTCTTCAGGTCTTTGGCAGCACGTGTGCCCAGGGCGGTGTGTCCTGCTCGTTCTTGTTGCTTGACAGTCTCAGCACAGCAACCGTTTGTTCAGAGGCAGTTTCCAACCGTGTGAAATGGCAGACTAGCATAGCCTTTCCGGGCTGTTCCATCATCCATCTGTCCGCCTGCCGTACTGTGGTGGCTTGAGCGTTGCTAGGGTGCTTAACGCTAAGCAGGACAGCTTGGTCACTTGTGGTAGACAGGATTCAGCGGAGCTTCCACACTAAGAGACAATCGGAAGCAAATCCCTGGTGGCCCACGTCCAAGGAGCCCTGGTGCCGTTACATGCTGGGCTGCAATCCGCAAGGTAAGCAGTTTGAATCCACCAGCCACCCCTTGGAAGAAAGATGAGGCTTTCTACTTCCATTAAAAGTTACACTCTCAGAAACCACGGTTTAGAGCAATGGTTCTCAACCTTCCTAATGCCACGACCCTTTCATACAATCCCTTATTGTGGTGCCCCTCCCTCAACCATAAAATTATTTTTGATGCTACTTCATCACTGTCATTTTGCTACTGTTATGAATCGGGCGACCCCTGTGAAAGGGTCATTTGACCCCCAGAGGGGTCGTGACCCACAGGTTGAGAACCGCTGGGTTAGAGGGTCACCGTGAGTTGGAATCTCCTCGATGGCAGTGTTTTTGTTTTCCCCGGGCCTGCTTCCAAAGTCAGCTCCTGAAACCCTCAGGATCACAGCAGATACTGAGCCGACGCCGGCCGGCCGGCCTGAGAGACGTGCCGGTGTGGTTCCAGGCCAGCACATGGCATCTGTGGGTTTCCTAGTGCAGGTAAGACTCGTGTTTCCACGCTATGCTCCTATCATCTACTAAGTGTGCAAAAGCATGATGGGAAAGTTTGAAATATCGTGAGAATCACTAAAATGTGACACAGAGACACAATGTTGCAAAAACCAGCACAGGATTACCAGGGACCTTCGATGTGTAACCAATATAGAAAGAGCCTGCGAGGCGCAGTTATTACCACTTGGGATTCAACCCACAAGGTAGGCAGTTCAAAACCATCAACCGCTCCTCAGGAGAAAGAGGGCTTTCTACCCCCGTGAAGCGTACAGTCTGGGAAACTCATAGGAGCGGTTCTGTGGGGTCGCTAGGAGTCAGAGGAACTGAATGGCAGTGAGTTAGTTGCAGGGTGCTTGGCTGGCGCTGGTAGAAGGGCAGTCGCCAAGGGTTGGAGCTGACTCAGCAGCCAACCACAGCCGTGCCACCCTGCTGCTCCGAGGGGCGCCTCAGCTTCCAGCACCTGGCACCCAGCAAGCCTCAGGTCAGGGATGACAAACATGAAAACTATGAATGTGTGAATCAGGCTGCTGGATGCCCAGTGCAGGTGGCCTCCTGTGTGACCCAGCATGAGGGGGCTGTGTCATGGCGTCCCCTTGACAGGAGGGTCCCACAGCGATAGGTGGGGGACTCTGGCCCAGGGCCACCTGCTTTTGTGCCCCCTGGGTTTGGTGGTGTGTCTCATCCTTATACGGGTCTCCCAGGGGGAGGGGACACGGGAAGGTATTTCCAGAGGGTGACCTGAGTCCTCAGGCAGGCGGGAGGGTTATTAATAGCTGGGACTTAGGCCCCACCGGCTGGTTGGTCGGCCAGCCGGCTAGGGAGTTTGCTCCAGCCAGGCTGCTCCTGAGAAGGAGCCGAGGGCGGAGCTGGTGACAGTGGGGGAGGAGAAAGTGTCCGGACAGGGGAAGAGGCTGGCTAAAGTGGGAGGCCACAGCCCCTCCCAGCCCAGCTGTTCCCTCAGCTGATTCTCCTGGGCTGGATCATCACCTCCGAATACTAGGGTGACAGGAGGGTTTGCAGAACCCGCCTCCAGCCTTCAGCCCCAGATAAATAGCAGCCTCCAGACCCAGGAGCAACGAGAAGTTTCTAGGCTCAACCCAGAGTTGATTAAGCTCCTGGCTCCCTCGCCCCAGCGGCACTGGCTGTGAGCCTGGGCAGCCTGGCGGACAGACAGGGGTGGCTTGCTGATTTCTGGTGAGGCCGGGGAGAGGGGCCGCCTGTGAGACTGCGGGTGACGGAGTCCCTGGGGGCTGGGACCAGCCACTGGTCGCCTGTCGTGGAGTGGATGGTTCTGCTTTGGGGGCCCGGCGGAAGAGCAGCCTTCCTGTGACGGAACACCAGCCCACCGCCACCACCTTGCACGTGACCTTGGCAGGGGCTCCCTCTCGCTGAGCCTCCGTTTCCCTCCAGCTCGGCAGCACCATGGCCGACGGCCAGATGCCCTTCTCCTGCCACTACCCCAGCCGCCTCCGCCGAGACCCCTTCCGGGACTCGGCTCTCTCCTCCCGCCTGCTCGATGATGGCTTCGGCATGGACCCCTTCCCTGACGACCTCACCGCTTCCTGGCCCGACTGGGCCCTGCCTCGGCTCTCCTCGGGCTGGCCGGGCACCCTGAGGTCGGGTATGGTTCCCCGAGGGCCCACCACCACAGCAAGGTTTGGGGTGCCTGCAGAGGGCAGGAGCCCCCCGCCCTTCCCCGGGGAGCCCTGGAAGGTGTGTGTGAACGTGCACAGCTTCAAGCCCGAGGAGCTGCTGGTGAAGACCAAGGACGGCTACGTGGAGGTGTCTGGTGAGTCGGGGACCAGGAACAGCCTAGTATCCTGAGCGGGGCAGGGGCCGGCTGGCCGGCAGTGGTGGCAACAAGTCCCAGGTGACTTCAGGGCTGAGGAATGCAGCCCGCAGAGCTGCGGCATGGAAAAGCTCTCCCCTCCCCCACACTACCCGCCCAGCCTTGGGGGGGTCTGTGTGCAGGGGCAGGCGGGCAGGCAGGCAGAAGCCGCCTACAAGAAGGCCACAAGAAGAACGGGCTGAACAACGGGTGGGGACTGGAGAGAGCAAAGAAGAAACAGGGCACACAGCAGGGTGTGGAAGGGACACTTGGATGCAAAGCCATGACCGTGTGGGTGACCATCGAGGGTCCTGAGCAGCCTCACTTGTCACTGACAGGGCACTGAGGCCCCACAGGGCTGTCCTGTCCTGAGAGCCCCGAGCTCTGAGTCCCCACAGCAGCAGCAGCCCCGGGAGATATGCGGAAACCGAGGCACAGAGCAGTCAGGAAAAATAGGTTTTCAATGTCTCCGGATGGCAGTGTTAGTATGCCCTGTCCCCAAGAGGCCCCATCTCCGATCCCACTGTGCAGCCCAGGTGACTGAGGTGTGGGGGGACAGTCCAAGGTCACACGGTGAGTCATCATCCGGGGCCTGTCCAGCCTGGGGGAGGGCAAGCTCTGGGGACTGGGAAAGAGGAGGCGCCGGGCCGGGTGCTCAGCTCCCAGGAACCACACAAAGAGCTCTCTCTCGCTTCCCTGCCAATTAAGGCTCCATTAAAAAGAGCATGTTCCTGGCAGAGGCCTGGCGCCAGAAATCAATAAAAGTGGCTGCGCGAGACCGGCAGGGCAGGGACAAGCCCTGGCAGCATTCAGGGGAGTTTCAAAGGCAAGCAGGCTGAATGGTAAACATCAGAGGCCCGTGGAGGGCGTGACAGTAGGAGGCAGGCAGGGGCTGCCCACTGGGCTGGGCTGGGCCGGCCGAGGGGTGGCTGGGCCGACTGGACAGTCCAGGGCCAGTTCCGAGCCTGCTGCTGCCACAAGCTGTCTGGATATGCACATGGTTTAACCTCTCCAACTCTCAGTTTCTCTCCCTGGAAATGGGCTCGTTGTGGCTATTCCTTACCAGGACTGCTGTGCAGAGTGAGGGTGGACAGGCTGCTTGGCCTCTGAGCAGTCTGTCTGGTTACTGCTGCTGCTGCTATTATTAAAGGGCCAGGCACCTGGCGCAGCCCCCATACATAAGGTGACCAGACATCCCGCTTTTGGCAGGACAGTCCCGCTTTTTAATAATTTGTACCACGTCCCGTGACGTTTTTAAAAGTCCCAATTTTTGGAAGAATGCTGGAGAAGCTAGGGAACGGCGGGAGAACGGGAAGACCAAATTTTTAATCAAGAAACCCCCCCCACCCACGCCCACCCCGGTCAATAGTATCCCGCTTTACCAATGCTTTACCAATGTTAAAATCTGGTCACCTTACGCATACATCATACATGGTAGCTGCTGGGTCGAACCCCAGCACTTTAGTTCACGAACAGAATATATCAAGCACGCGGCCATCAAGTCAATTCTGACTCCCAGAGACCTTAAATCGGCCTTCTGAGACTGTCAGCCTTCACGGGAGCGGGCCACCCTGCCTGTAGCTGGACGGATGTGGACAGGCAGGCTGTCATCTGCCCCGAGCCTCGGCTTTCCCAGCAGCAGGATGGGAACTGTGGCACTCTCCCTCCCGCAAGGCTGCAGGGCCGACCACAGACAGGCAGACAACTCGAGGCAGTATCTGCAGAGTCTGTAGAAGAGAGCTGGTTGACAACGCCGGCCTGGAGCCCCCCTCCCCCACCTCACCGTGACGAGAATCCCAGAAGGACCCAGGCCAGGGCTGAGGTGCTCCCACACCTCAAGGTGCCAGGCCACCCTTCTGTCCAAACTAGAGGGCTTATCCTCCATCCCTTGTGGGTGGTTCTCAACAGGTGAGGGCTGGCAGTGCCAGGCCTGGAGCCCAGCTTGAGGTGGACCGTGGGGTTTCAGTTTCTCTCTCTGTCAAATGGGGATGCTGGATGCTTAAATAGGACAAGGATTTGGGCAAAACCTATTTAGGTTGTAAAATGCCTCACACCTATACCATGAGCAACCTGTCTCTTCAGTGTATGTGCAGGGCATCAGGGGTTTAAAGGGACATCTCCCGGTGACCATCAATCCAGCAGTACCCACTTTACACTGAGCCCTGGGCCTGTACATAGGCTGCCTCCCTCATTCTGCACGAGGACCTGCAGGCAATGGCCATTTGAGAGAGGGGAGAACTGAGGCTCACCTGAAATGCCTCACTTCTCTGAGATCCAAAGCCATGTCTGCCTGCCCTGCTCCTGCTCAGGATAACTAGGCCCAGTTCTGTGTGGGCCTGCCCAGTCTGACCACCTCCAGGGCCTCAGTTCCACCACCACTCTCACTGAGAGGTGAAGCCACCCACTGTGCCAAACCACTGGGTCCACGGTGTTACCAGGCACCTGAGAAACCAGAACAGGAACAGGTGATCCCTCTAGGGCCTCGGCTACCTCCGCCGTACCTGGTGCCAGATGAAACAAATCTAAGAGCAGGTCTCCATCCTACAGGCCTTATCAGAGCTCTGCCTTTGCTAAGGGAGCTTGTGAATCTCAGGGCCATGGCTGCCGGACTAGGCAAGCTTCGTCACCACCGCCCTTCTGCACCCCACCCTGCAGCCTCCACCCAAAATATGTTCCCTTCACGGGCCTTTGGGAAGAGACTGGAAAGCACTGAGGCCGTACTCCCCTCACCCTCTCCATAATCCCTGGGCCAGGGCCTTTCCTGGACACAGCACCTCCTTTCTTCAGCTAGGGGCAGCGCCCACTCCTGACCGCTCCCTGTCAACCTCTGAGGCAGGAACAGGAAGGGCAGCTTTGAGGGCCACTGGCATCCCCTGGCCTCTAGACGGTGATGACTTTTTACAAAGAAACCATAGGTGTGCCTCGTTGCCATCTATACACCTGGAATATTTTAATGGCTTTTGAAAATGCAGGTCGGAAACAAAGAGAGTAAAGTAAAACTCACCCATAATCCCTAAACTAGGCCCCCCCAACCAATCTGCATATGCAAACATAGGCAAAGGAAACTCTAAGATGGTCCACCTGTTAACACTCTTTCAGCCAGACAACCCCCTCCTCAGACTCCTTTTTGACGGAAATCTCAGAGCTGCATGTCCTTGTTCCTCCGACATCCTCCTGAACCAAGACTTCAGGGCAAGGTTAGGGATCAGACTGGGCTTCCGGGAAGCAATCCTATTCTCAGACATCAACAGAAACTACAGATGCGGGTCATCAAGAAGTGTCCATATTATACCTTATTCCGTCTTCCAGGAGCTCAGCCAGGTGGGGAGTGTCACCCCACTTCAGAGAAGAATCAACTGAGGTTCAGAGAAGATCAGAAAAGTCAGAGAACAAGGGCTCAATACAAACACCCAGCCTTCCTGGCCCATCTTTGGGCTTCTGAAGCTTTGCCCCATCCCTTCAAAGCTGTGTGACCATGGCAAGTCCCTTAGCCCCTCTAAACTTCCGATTTCCCAGTCCACACGATGGTCACAACTCAGGTACCTCCCTTCGCACAGAAGCTGCTCTGGAGACAAGTACAGAGGTGCTTTGAACCGTGGTTGCCACCGGTAGGAAGGGTTGGCTGGAGTTATTTTTATCAGCTTCATCAAGTGGTATTTCCAGGGCAGCAATTCTGTCCGAGGATTCCCGGATGCAGAAGGGCTGAGTCAGAGCCATGTCCTCTCCCCGGGGGGAAGCAGGCCTTGCGAAGCCTGGGCTTAAGGGAGGTGACTGACTGGAGCGGCTCAGGCCACAGCTGGTGGTCATGGGCTTGGCAGCACAGAAGCCACTCCCATTCACAGAATCGCATGTTCTGGCGAGGCTGACATACCAGTGTAAAAGCAAATGCGTTTCTGTAAACGGACCCCTTCCTGCCCTTCGAGAAAGAATCAACTGGCAGAGCCTGTCCTGAGAGCAGCTTGGCAGCACGGATCAAGTCTTAGGAATCCTGGGCCTTGGCATTGACCTGAGAGACATGGCTGGCCCAGGGAGCAGACGGATGGCCATGCAGTCAGGACCCCTCTCAATGCCCAGGGCCAGGCCTGCCCAGAGACCCTCGGCCAGGCTCACTCTGTGTGCTGAGCAGCCAGTCAACGAACACCCAGCCAGGAACACTTGGAGCCATGGGGGGAGAGAATTATCATGCACTAGCAATTTTAACATGCAATATACAGAGTGATCCCGTTCGAGAGAACATGGAATAGATGTCTATACGACTCGGGGAGAGCCTGCGCTTGCCCTTGAATGGTATGTAAATTTGCCTCCCTTTGAAAGGATGGCACCCACGGCTCTTGGCAAGGAGGTCTTCATGACAATCACCTTCACCTGCACCTCTGCCTGTGCGGCTTTCCAATCGATGACCCCGCCCCCCCGCCCCAAATGAACCACTGCCACCAAGTAGATTCGAACTCATAGCCACAGCACAGGGCAGAGCAGAACCCCTCCTTAGTTTTCAAGACGGTGGGTCTCTGCGGAAGCAGCCAGCCCCCTCTTTCTTCCCTGGAGCAGCTGACTTTGAAGTCAGCAGCCCAAGATTTAACCCAGTCTGCCGTCTGCCCTACTCTGACTCACTGACCAATTCCACTTTAAAGACTTTAAAAAGCCACGGTAGATGATCTTGTTCTTACCCGGAGACTGCCTGGACATCATCGAGGTGTTTCTAAGAAACAATGCAGAGTCTGGAAAGACTTTTACAAAAACATCATCAGTGGTTTCTCCAGGGTGGTGGGATGATGGGTGCTTTGGATTTTTTCTCTCTCTCTTTTTCCCCTAAATTTCCCAACCTCCACAACACGTTCACCTTATAATGAGGAAAATGCTATTAACAAAGGGATAACTACCAGTTTGGGTTTAAAAAATATTTTTAAATTAAAAGATCATTTTATTAGGGGCTCTTTTAATTAAAAGATCATTTTATTAGGGGCTCTTACAGCGATCCACACATCAATCGTATCAAGCCTATCTGTACATATGTTGCCATCATTCTGGTCTAGATACTTTCTATTTGAGCTCTTATTATCAGCACCTCTTCTTTCCCTCCCTTGGGTTTTTTTTTTAATGATAACAACAACAAAGTGGGCTGCAAAAGGTGACTCCAACCCATAATGTTCCCTGCAGTGTAGACTCAGAAGCCCACAGAGCTGCCCTGCAGTGTGGGCTCTGGAATGTGGCCTGGCCAGCCAGGGTGTAATGTGATCCACCAACAGCCCACGTCCCAGCCCCCGTTTGTTTAAAGCAAACCAGAGACTCTGCCCATGAAAGGAAAGAACAGTGGGGAGGGGCTGAGAGGGTCAGAATTGGTTACACAAGTGGTAGGATGAAAGCCAGGGTGGGCCCACTCTTCTTTATAATTCCACTTTCTCCCCCCTGCTACCCCGGCCGCGCTGGGGCACGTGGACTGTCACAGCTGTGGCATTTAATCTCGTGTCCTTTCCCCGAGGACAAACAGTTCATGTGCTAGGCTGCTAAGCCAGACTCGGGAGATTGGAGCCTACCCACCCGCGGGCCCCTTGAAGGAAAGGACTGGCGATCTGCTTGGAGAAAAAGAGCCACAGAAAAGCCTCTGGGGCAAGTCCTCCTCCAACCCCTCCAGGGGCACCCTGAGTTGTAATGAACTCAAAGTCCTCGTTTACCAGTCTGCAAAAGCGAGCTGAGGCTGCAGCCAGCCCTCAGGACTTAAACTCTCCTCTTCCCTACCACCTATCCCTGGATGGCCTGTGACACAAGGGGCAAGCCCACAGAGCGGGTGGGGGGTTTCTCAGATGAGAAACTGGCAGTGGACATAACCTGCAGCCTGGTGTCTGAGCTCTCCTACAGCAAACGGGCCTGGTGCGGCCATTCAGCTGCATTCGGCAGTGACGCACCCAGCTGCTGACCCTTAGCAGCCGACAGAAAGAGACAAGTTCAAAGCCACCCACAGCTGCTCCACAGGAGAAAGTCCTGGACTGGGCTCCTGTAGAGATGGGGCCTGGGAAGCCCTGGTTGGGGGGGGTGGGGGGCAGTTCTAGTCCATCCCTGGGGGTTGCTGTGGACTGAACATCAACGGGACAACAACAACAGAGCCGCCTCCATCCAAGGCCAAGGCCTCCCTTCCGACCGGCCGCCTTCCTCCATCCTCTTGGCCAGCCTGGGGTGCGGGCTGAAGCCGCAGAGCGAGGCAGGAGAAGGCATGGTATTTGAGTTGTGGCCCGAGTGCCATCCACGGGGCATGGACACTGACGTAGGACTCATTCCCTTCCCTTCCAGGCAACCACGAAGAGAAGCAGCAAGAAGGCAGTATCGTTTCCAAGAACTTCACAAAGAAAATCCAGTAAGTAAAGCCCCGAGAGCGGAGTCCCTGAGCCAGACTGCCCATGGGGGCTCCACGGCCAGCCGAGGGCAGCACTCAGCCCCCACCCTCAAAGGTCCCCGCTGGAACAATCTGACGGGGGCAGCTTTCCTTTGCACCCCCGAGCCCCCCACCTCCCCCCAGCAGTGAGGCGACTCATTGGCCACTTGTTTGTTGGTTTGTCTTCCATGAGAGTAAGAGAGACTTCGGAAAGTTCACGGGAACATTCCATCCTCTCTCACTTCCCTGCCCTCATGGCTTCTTTGGAAGTCCCCTCGTCTGTCCTCTGTGCGTCCAGTGAAGGTTTGCAAAATAGTTCAGGCTCCTGCTCAGCAGTGGCATCCACACAAGTGGTCCAGCAGGGTGACTTTGGCTTGGAACCCCCAGCTCATGATTTCAGGGTGGGCCAGGGGAAGCGAGGGTCTGGGGCCTGAAATCTAGGGTCTCTCTCTCCACGGCACCCTTCTCTGGCAATACTCCCAGGATCTGTGAAGCTGAAGGGGACGGTATGTTTGTGCCAACCTGCCACAGGACCCCCATGCCGTGCACACTGGGCAGCAAGTCTCATCCTGTGGCGGAGTTACCCGATCCACACACGGAGATGCAGCAGGCTACTCTGGCCTGTGTGTAGGGCGAAGGGGGACCTCCGTGCCCATCAAGACAGCCCCTCTCTGAAGGCCACGCATATGACCTGGTATCTTGGGAAGGCTGCCTGCTCTACCTGCCCCGCAGCATCCACCAACCGCACAAGGGAGGCAGAAAGACGGCCTTCCTTCAGGGTGTGGGGCTGGAGCAAAGGGAGGAGGAGCTGCACCGAGGGGGAGAGAGGAAGGGAGGGAGAGTGAATAGGAAGGGTGGGGCCTGGTGGAATCCTGGGCACCACCGGATGGCCAGACTGAGGCGGGGAACCAAAGCCACGTGAAGCCCCTTCCTAGCAAGGCCCGTGGGGAGAGCAGGGCTGCCGGTATCGGGCAGCTGCCTCACCAAAGCAAATGAGAATGCCAATAGGTCACCGATGCCTCCACCTGCTCCCTGCAGCCCTGTGTGTCAGAGGAGAGCCGTCCACCACGAGGCCGCTGTAAATAAAGAGTTACAGCTTCCGAAATCCCCAGGAGAAGTTCTGCCCTGCCCTATACGCGCCAACCAGTCGGAATCGACTCATGGCAGTGCGTTGACTTGGGGAGGCCTCCAGGGAAACAGGGGCTGGGGGTTCACAGGCCAGTTAGAATGGCCACTACCGTGGCTTTGGACAGAGGTTCTTCAGCTGGCGTTCAGCATCAGAGCTGGCCTGGTTGTTGCCATAGAACTAGCCACTGACCAACTGTGACCTGTGGGCCACCCACAGTTAAGCCAAGGATGGTTAGGTAGCTGAAAAGTCAGTGGTTCAATCCACCCGAGGCCTGGCAACCTGCACCCGAAGGACCAATAGGGTTCTACTCTGCACACACCTGGGGGTCACCAAGAGTCAGAAGTGACTGGGTGAACAATAACCACTCACCATGGGTTACTCTGAGCACCCCCACCCACCCCAACCCCTCATACCCACCCTGGCAAAGTTGCCATCTAGCCTAGCACCCCAGCACACAGGGGCCACCTCAGATTGGCTCAGTCTGGCTGGTAGTTAAACATCTCCCATCTTAGCCCTTCGCTGAGGGCAGCCTGGTCATACAGGGATGGGTGAGAGTGGGGAACCGGGAACAACTTGCTGAGCCCTCGTGCCCTTGAGGAAGGGGCTGCGGCAGGGTGAAAGGGTGTGTGGGACCACTGGAGCCTGGGGACAGGCGCTCAGCTGTGGGAACGGAGACTGAAAGCAGCACACGGAAGAGTTGTGGGGACCAGGAGAGCCTCTGAGCAGCCTGTCCCCTGGGATGCCCTTGGGTGGATCTCAAGAGGTCTCCTTGACTCTCTCAGAACAAACGATGTACTTAGAGGGCAGGGAGGCCCCTAAAACCAGGCAGAAAACTGAAGTGGTGTTCCCTCTCCGGCCAAGACATCTGTCCCCCCACACTCAGGTCCGTGCGAAAGGCCTCACGTGACTGTGGAGAGGGAGTGGTCTTAAGAGTGTGCCCCTCAAGTCAACCCAGGGCCAGAAGGATTACACACACACACACCTTACTGCCACCTGGGGTCGGTCTGTCTCACAGAGCTGCTCCCATGGGTTTCTGAGACAGTGAAGTTTTAAAGAAGTAGAAAGCCTCATCTCTCTCTGGCAGTGCCCCTGGTGGTTCCGAACTGCTGCCCTTGTGGTTCGCAGCCAAATGGACAACTCACTAAGCCACCAGGGATCCTACAGGCCTCTGGTCTCCTCCCCATCCTAGGGCTATTTTTCTAAGCTCCCTAAGAGGAGAGAACAAAAAGTGTGTGTGTGTGTGTGGGGGG